TTAAAATATACACCCCCAGAGGGGCTCATTCAGGGAGAGCTGTTATTTCCCACAAGTTCCTAGGTGAGGCCAATGCCGCAGACCCTGGAACCATCCTGTGAGAACCCCGATGTAGCCCATGGTTGTGTCCAAGGGGCCCCTACTGGAAGTAGAAGAGGTTGAACATCTGCTTGCCCGTTTCCACCTCCAAAGTTGCCAGTGATGAGAAGGCTTAGGAATCCGACTTGCATTTCAGGCGGTGGGAACTAAGCTGGGTCCATGGTGGGGCTCAGAGCCAGCGGTCTCCTCAGTCCCACCGCGGGGGCAGGACCGGCCCTGCACTGCTCCCGGGCCGGAAACTGCAGAACTCTCGCCCGGCCAGTGTGATGCTAGCTTCTACCTTCGCCAGATTTCTGTCTTCTGAAACTTAGAGCTTGCGCTCTACCTCCATAGGAGAAAACCACTGGCTATCGGAGAAACAGGTTGGACAGAGAAGCCTTATAGAATTCAGCCGAAATTCCGTGTGACCCAAGGATTGATTTAATTCTTTAGAAATTACTTGACCCAGCTCAGTGTGTGTGAGTGTCTGTGTGTGTCTGTGTGTGTGTGTGTCTGTGTGTCTGTGTGTGTGTGTGTGCGCGCGCGCGCGTGTTCTCGGCACAGAGTCGCTTTCTGGGCCACCCTTTTTGTTTTCTGTATTGATTTGTTGATACCCTTCCCCACCAGGAGCCAGCCTTGTCTCTGTCCGCGTGTCCCCCCCACCCGTGTCCTCCGGCCGTGGCACTCGCCGAGGGCAGTGCGCGGCGAGGACTGGGGCCCCGCGCCCGCCCTCCCGCCGCGCCCGCTCCTTTGTTAGCGCCGCCGGCCCGCTGCTCTGTCGGACCTGCCGGGGGCGCACGGGCCCCACTCCAGCCTGCCTGGCCCCAGTCCCCCAAGGACTTGTAAGCAGATAGGCTCGAGTCGAGAGGCTAAATTACGCCCCGGGGGACTTTTTAACCAAAATCCTAAATTTCATTTAGGCTGCAGGCAGAGCACGTGGTTGCAAAGCCCGAGCCGAGGCGGGACCCGGGGGAGCCGGTCCCTCGCCACCGCGCGCCCGGCTGCTCTGCGCCCCTCCGCGGCCGCCACGCTGCCAGCCCTTCCGCTTCCTCCCGCCTCCTCCCCGCCGACGCTCCCTCCCCTCGGGCTGCGGGCAAAGTCGGTAACAAGAAACCGCTCCGCAGCCGGGAGGGGGTGGGGAGCCAGCCCCAGAGCTGCGCGCGCTGGAGAGAGAGCTCGTTTTGTGCAAAGAGGGCCTCGAGTCACCAGGGAATTCCTGGATTGTCTCAGGCTGTCGCGTGTGATGTCCATCACGCCGTGCGAACGCCATCTGCTCGGCATTAGGCGCGCAGTTGCCAGGCTACCTGCTGTACGCGGGAACACTTGGCTGCCGGCTCCACTGCGGCCGCGGCGGCCCGGACGCGCGGGCGGGGCCGGGCCTGATTAAGCCATCTGCATCGGGCGGGGCGCGGGCTGCGGCAGCCCCGGGCCGACACCGCCATCTGCGGGCCCCGGCCAGAACAGCAGCGGCTACCCGGGCCCGGCGAGGTTTGCCTGGAAAAAGGCTGATACCCCGGGCACCCTCCCGCCGGCTACCCACGATGCCGCTGTCACCCCAGCCTCAGCCCTGCAGGCAGCCTTTTGTGACGATCCTTTCACGGAACCGCCGTCTTTGGTTCGCCGCCAGCCAGCCCGGCCCTGCTCACCCAAACGCCGAGCCTGTTCTTGAAAACACTTAGAGAATGCAACTTCCCTGCGCGCAGATTTATAAATAAACAACTGGCCGTGTTTGAGAGATGCTTTTACCACCCCTGGGTTGTTTTAAAGTCCAAAGCTGCCTTTTCCGGGAAGGTGAGGGTGTTTCTTACACCTCCCACCTCCCTCCAGCCTTTAGAAAACTGTGAGGCTCCATCCCTGGAGGGGAAGATGTGTAGTATAGGTTCCTCATTTTTAATGGCTTGTTCCTCCCTTTATTTTACTGGAGAGTGAGGGGTTGGAGAGTAATGAAGATCTATGTAGCCAATTGGATTTGAGGGGAAGAGAATGAATTGAGATTCTGGTTAGAAAGCAAGGGAAGGAGCAGAGAACAAGCCAGTAATTAAAACTAAAAATACTGCATCATTTGGCTGCAAGGCACTGCACGTGGTCACATGACGAAAGTGCAGCGTGGTTTTCCCTAATTGCATCACACAGTGTGTGTCCTCCTCTGCCGCAAGAGTAGTAGCTTGAAATCCTGAAATTTCACAGACTCTCATTAAGCCCTCTGAGGCTGGGGCTTAGAAGTTGTACCGAATAACAGTGGCCTTGCCGGCGTAAAGAGTGAGGCAGGTCGCTTGCGGGGCGCCCTCCTCCAGGGATGCCGCTCGGGGTGGGCGGGGCTCGCTTGCTGTGGGCTGCGGCTGGGTTGGCGGGAGGTCCCACAGGGACTGCGTTTGGCAGGCGATCCTGGGCCCAGGCACGAGGATGGATCCTCCTTCCCCGAGGTCTTGTGGCCTTCCTTCTGTGAGAAAGGCGAACTTCTAGGAAGGAATCATTAGGGAAATATTGTGGTCGCTTGGAAGGAAAATATGCTTTTCAGAAAGTTTTTCCCCCCGCAGGGGCAAAAAGTGACTTAACATCAATACTCCATTCGCTGCTCTGCGTTTCCAGCGGGGAGAGAAGACCAGGAAAGCCAACACCCCGATTTTCTCCACGCCCCCCGGGTACCCTGGCCAGCTGTAGGAGGCCTTCGCGCAGGACCAGAGACCATGTCTCGAAGAGCACAACGAGAACCGATTCAGCCATCTCCAAAACTGAAGCTGCAGACAACTTTCTCTCCCCTCGGGTCTCAGCTTTTTTCCACCTCTTTCCCCCCAGACTGGAAAATATTAACTGTGCTGAAATACACCCAAAAACACTACATATCTGTATTCTTACTGAGCGGTGCGCCACGCTGCAGTGTGAATGCATTTGTTAAAGTGTTAAGTCGATCAGCCATTTGTCTCTAAAGGTGGCAAGAAAGAACTTTATCCCATGGGAAAAAGGACTTGAAAAACAGGTAGCAAGTATCTGGGAAAAAAGGAGAAGACTGAAATAGCCAGACCCCTGCAGGGCTTGGCCATAAAGTAAACTTTTTGGTAGCATCAAAGTTCCTGGCTCTTTTATTTTTTTTTCTTAAGTATAAGACCTTTTAGTTAACATTAAAAATATTTCCTGCTCTAACTACAGAAAAAAAAGACAGACAAAAAACTTGTGTTAACTTCAGCACCAGCACTTGTATATGCAAAATAGAACACATTACAGATATAAGAGATACACTGGAAGTTTCATCTACAGGTAATTCTTAGGTGCACATTTGGGGCCCGGGCACTTCGTCTAAGAAAGGCCAGAGTGAGTAAAAGAAATACCCAATTTAGGATCAAAATCAGCATTCTTACCTGCTAGTTATGGGTCATCTGTTTACCAGCTATATGATCTGGGCTACTACATAACCAAGCTATTGTTTCTGGGGCCAGAGGAGGAGCGTGCTGTGCTGTGTTGTGTTGTATTGTGTTGTGGTTGGGGTTGTTTTGCTTATTCCGTTTTGCTTGGCAGGGGGGGGTGGGTGTGCAAATGAAGAGGCCGAGCAGGTGGGAATTCGTAGGTGAGAGGAAAAGCATACATGGTTCAAGAGAGTCGAGAGACATGCGGAGCATGGGGCCCGGGCTTCAGGAAATCAGACCCGGGACTGTGCTCTGGGAGAGGCAGTGATCGATGGATTTCACCTCTGTGCTTTGCGAGGAGATGGCTGACGTGTTTGCCAGTATCTATCATTGAAAATGTACCCAAGCAAGAAGGGGGAAAGTACTCAGCTCCAGTTCAGACTACAGCTTTAAAGATAACTGCAGAGCTACTCGCATTCATTTCTTATTAGGTCTCCTAAAGTGCTGCACCGTATGGCTGCATGGGTGTCTTGTGATTTGTATATGCCTCTGAAGTCACGTCTTCTACATGCGTGGTAGTGGCTTGAAACCTTAGTTAATTAGAAAGAATATCTCTGTGGAACATCCAGGCAGTGCTCGCCTTTGCCGGATGCTTGGTAGACATGTCTGGGTGCTGTGGTAGACATGTGCATGCTTGCAGTGCTTGGTAGACATGTCTGGGTGCTGAATCTTGTGGTCACATACCTGCTGTTCCTAGAACTGTTCATCCCTAGTGTTCCCTCTCTGGCTGTGTAGACACACACACACACACACACTCACACACACACACACACACACCCTGTGCATTCTCCAAGCTGTCCCCTGGGCTGTGTGGGCTTAGGTCTCTACCACTTTACTGCCTATTCCCCAAGGAGCAGTCCTTAAAAGCTGTCAGCATCACCTGAGCATGGCGGTACCCACACGTAATCCCAGCACTCTTGGGAGGCTGAGGCAGAAGGATCACAAGTTCAAGCCCGGCCTGAGAAATGTAACAAGACTCTGTCTCAAAAAAAATAAAATGTGCTGGGGACCTAGCTCAGTGTACAGGCCTTGGGTTCGATAAATACATACCAAAGTTCTCAAAGGTTGCAGTTAATATAGCAGATCTGATTAGTAAATTCCAGCCTTCTTCTGCGTGTGTCTCCTGCTTGCTCAGACGACGTCCATTTCCGCCAAGTAGACAGTGATGAGGAAGGATTATCAGGCAAGGTTGGGGCATCACCTCCCAGGCTTCAGATGAGCCGTACCTGAGGGCTTATTCCTTTCCTTCAAGGAACTCAGGATGTTAGCTGAAAGCCCACTCCATGCCCACTAGTCCCATCTGAAACAGGGAGCCTGGCCCAGATTTCCCGGAGCTGTGCTCCATTCCTGCGCCCTGTGGCCTGTCTGGTTCCACAGAGGTGAGGCAGATCTGAGGATGACGAGGTTGTTTTCATGGAAAGGTAACAGGTGCCCCCCAGAAACCCTGGGGTCCTCCTTCCCCGCGTGGCAGTGAGTGTCCTCACTGAATCACTGCAGCTCTGCCTTTTTTTGCCCCGCCAGGAGCAGCACCCGGTCGGGCTTCCGCGGACCACAGGCCCCATGCAGCCCTCTGTGGCCCCAGGCTCGGGCAGCATGGTCTCAGGAGCCAGCCCCTCGGGGCCCGGCTTCCTGGGCAGCCAGCCGCAGGCGGCCATCATGAAGCAGATGCTGATTGACCAGCGGGCCCAGCTGATGGAGCAGCAGAAGCAGCAGTTCCTGCGGGAGCAGCGGCAGCAGCAGCAGCAGATCCTGGCTGAGCAGGTAAGACGCCCCCATGGCGGGATCCCGGAGGCACAAGCGTGGCACCTGCCAGCTGTGAGGGAGCCTCTCCCCGAGTCCCTGTCCTCCGTGGAGAAGCTCACAGGCCAGCATTTCTTAAGATCCTACAAGAACCTGTGGACTGTGGACCTTTTCAATTAGTTAGGCTTTTTCCAATAATGAGCGAGTTGGTTCTTAAAGACAGGCTTCTGCCATCAATTTGAGGCCCATTTGCAATAGACAGTTCTTCAATGCAAGCCTGGCTCCTTCTCTCCTGATTTCCAGGACAGGGGTCTGTTTAATCAGCATGAGTGGAGGCTGCTTACATTCTGTGGAAGCCCTAATATTTCTCACAGGAAGCCAAAACAAACAACAAACACAAAAAAACAAAACTCAGAGAATTTTGTTTCTTGGAAGAAAGGGGCAGGAAGAAGGACTGAGGAGAATTTGATGCGTTGGACATGAACAGTAGCAGAAAAAGAAGGCCTGCAGAACTACCTGGCTGTCCGAACTGGGGGTCACTAAGGGGGTGCAAACATAAGAAAAGCTCTTATGACAGCTTTTTAAAACAACTCAGGAAGCCTGTGAGTTAAAGAAAGGCCCAACACAAATACACCTTTACCTTCGGCACCTTTGTCCCAACTCTGCCACATAATTTCTCCAGCTTTGAAAGGAAGCCTTCCCCGAAGACCACTCCTGTAGGTTTTGATTTGTTTTGTTTTGAGAGTTGCCCAGCCTGATTTAGTACAGTATTATCCTAGGGAAAGGCCCGAGGCTGTCCACTGGAGGTCTCCAAAGGCCCCTGTGCGGGCCTGCACTGGGCATCTCAGACAGCAGACTCCATTGTAGGGGATTGGCGTAGAAGGCTCAGAGCCTAACAACTCACTCATAGTTATCATTCTAGAATGTTCCTAACAGGGTCAGAATTTGGGAGATTTACCAAGCATCTACCACACACAAACACACAAGCACACACACACAATTATATGACACTGTGACATAGGAACAGGATGCTGAGGTCCCTACTAAACATGGGCAGCAGTTCAGAGTAGCACTAGTCATCTCCCAAAGAGAAAAACTGCTGTTGAGCACAGTTCACACGTGTTCCCTGTTTTTGCTTTTGCTCTTGAACAGCTGTGTCATTATCTTTCCTTTTACCAAGGTCAGTCTGCTTCCTGGCAGCAATTGTACAAACAAACTCCTATCCCACACACCCTGCACAAGGTGTATGACAAGGAGCCATGCCAGTATCTCTCCGGCGGTGATAAATGGAGCTGCAGAGGGAAGCAGCGCTTTGTAAATCCTCTCCTCAGCCAGGCCCAGGGAATTTCAGGTGTGCCTGTTGTAAGCGATGCCTTTTGACAGGTGTGCTGCAACCACCCAGATGAGGGCAGTCAGGAGAACTGGGCAGAATTCACTTTTGCCAGCCCAGGGGTGCTGCCCCAGAGGGGTCAGACCAGGAGGGGCAGAGTGTTGGAAGAGTTGCTTCGAAGTCATGTCCAGAGACCCACAGGCGAATGGGTGGGAGACCCCTCAGAATCGAGGGCCTGGAGCTCGATGCTCCGTGGAAAGATTATATTCCGGGTGGAACATAATCTCTTAGCAGTTGTGTGTTCTAAGAATTAGAGACCACTTTCCTCAAGGTGAAAATTTGTCTATTCTTTTGCTTACAATGTGATTTTGTATTTTTTTTTTCTGGTACCTGGAATCGAACTCACAACCTCGTGCTTGTCAGGCAGGCACTGTGCCGCTGAGCTAAAGCCCCTTACAGTGTGATTTTGAGCAAACTGTTTAACCTCCGTCTTCATCCACCAGGCTAGGTTTGAATACTTCCCTTGTATAACTGCGGTAAAGACCACACGAGCTAGTGTGCGCACAGCTCCTTGGCAGCTGTCCACTCTGCACACGTGCATATGGGGACCGGTCATGACCCTGGGTTCAGAGAGCATTGTAGAACAGCTGCAGCCCCGGGTGCCAGGCGCGACCATGCAGGGTCCCCTGGGCCTGGACACAGTGCTTATTAACGCAGGCTGTCCCAGGCTGTCCAAGTGGTAAGCTCTCCACTTTTTGTTTTGAGAATGAGTATTGATTTCCACATCAACACCGTCCTGATTTCCTCAGACTCTGCCGCACTGAAAATGTCCAACAGGTTCAGTCTTGGAAACAGTATACTGGGAGCATTCGTGTTTCCCACAAGGACAGCTGAGGGGAGACAGAAGGCTCTGGCGGCCCGTGTAACCAACCTGAGAATGCTAAGCCTATTCTAGGCGGACCTGAGAACCAGAGCCGAGCAGGTTGAAAGTGGCTACAAATTAACACTGAATGCCTCCTTCTCCCAGAGCAGGGAGCACATCACCTCTCATCCGCTCACAAAAGTTCGCTAGAACTTAGAGTCGGAGATCTGAAACCTGGGCTATCATGAGGTCCTGTCATTTTACAAAGAAGGAAACTGAGGCCAGGAAGCTGATGGGGTTTATCTGAGACCACAGAGCTGCAGAGAGGCAGAGCCAGGAGGAAAGTGGTCTCTGGAGTTCGGGCCCGCTCGGCCCACCAGACCGCCCCTTGTGAGTGGGACAGTTCAGTTCTCACATGTGTGAGGAGAAGCTTTGAAACGCTCCGCTTCCTCGCAGGAATGACTTTATATTGCTGCCTGAAAGAGTCCCCTGGTTTCTGGTCTACACTGCTAAGGTCTGCATGTTGATCAGTTTCGCAGTTTTCTACGTGCTCCCATAGTGGACACACAGACTGCGATCAACACGGCAGAGCTCGTTTTGTTGTTGTTGTTTCCCCTTGGATGCCAGAATGCTGGCTGGCTCATAGTGAGAAAAATAAAGGAAATTATGGAGCTGCCCAGGACCAAACAGGAAAGAAAAAAATAGAAGCAAACACATGTGGTCAGAGGTGGTCAGTGTGTGTTATTTTTATAGCGAACACGCTAAGGAGCAGGGACCTTGCTGTAAGTTCCTTCCAGCCCTAGTGGATGAAAGGTGCTTAATGCATATTCAGCAGCTGCAGGAAGCAGGTTAACCGGCATCTGAAGGTCCTGCAGCTACTTGACAGCAGACCTAGACCTAAAACCTCTTTCTCTGCTCTTTCCACCCAACTCTTATGTCTTTTCCCCTTGCACATCCAGAGTGGTAATGATTATACAGCCTGCCCCGTGTGTTAATAGCAATGCTCAGAGTACACGGTCCCTGTGAGTAGAAAAAGAAAGACTGAAACACAGATATATATACGACCTCACGTGATTTCCTCAAAGCAGTTAATGCTAGTATTTTACTTGCAGAAATGTGTTTTCCAGGCAGTGTGGCTTCATGGGAATAAGATTAGCCTCCTTTCACAACCCTGAGGAGTCCATCTCCCTATGCCCAAAGCATCTATTTACAACCTTAAGAAGTTCTAATTGTCCCTGGACCTGGGGCCCACGGTGCTAAAGAAGGTGTGCCAGCTGACATTGGGAAGTCTAAGTCAGAACTGCCCACCATGGACGCATTCTCCGTGAGCCAGCAAGTCACACATCAGAAACATAGGCAGATGTTCCCCCAAAGTCATTGCAGGGATGTGCCCAGCAGTGGCGTAACAGCCCCAAGCTAGAAACCCCACACACAAGCAGCCCTGGTAGAATGGGTCCATTGCAGTACATCTGTAGGTGAGAACACTACAGGGAGGAGGCAAGTGGTGAATGCAAGAAGCCACACACTAAAGCATCGTCCTATGAATCCCTTTCCATAAAGCACAGAAGCAGGCAGAGCTGATCTCTGGTGTTAAAAGTTACGGTGGCCATGCCCCCGAGTCATGGGAGGAGAGGCATTCCCTGTAATGGTGTTTCTGGATCTGGGGTGCTGGTTACCTAGAGTGTGTTCATTTTGTGAAAATCCATCCGCCTGGATTCTTACTCTGGGTGTACTTGCTTGGATGCATGGGATTCTTCAATACAAAGTTTTGATTTTGAAAAACACTAGGGCTTGGGATATAGCTCAGTGGCACAGCATCTGCCTGGAACACACAAGGTCCTGAGTTCGATTCCCTGCACCAAAAAGAAAAAAAAAAAAACCACCCTGTCTACTTCAGAGCCTCCAGGGTGTTTGACTGCATGCTCGCTCCCTGTCTCACCCTCTACCCTGTCCTCTGTTGTTCCAGCAGCTGCAGCAATCTCATCTTCCCCGGCAGCACCTCCAGCAGCAGCGGAATCCATACCCCGTGCAGCAGGTCAATCAGTTTCAAGGTGAGGCTATTGAGCACTGCTTCCATTTTACAACTCCCCGTTGCAAAGTGTAAGTGAAACTGTCATCAGTGACATTGCCTTACATTCTATATTTGTGTCGAGGTAGTACCCAAAATATTTAACAACTGGTACAATAAGAAAGCCAGGCATGGTGGCACATGTTTGTAATCCCAGCACTGAGGAGGTTGAGACAGGAGGATAGCAACATTAGGAGTAATGACTAGTTATGACTAGTTACTAGTCAGAGTTATCTAGTAAGTTCAAGGCCACTCTGGACTGCAAAGTGAGCCCCTGTCTCTAAAAAATAACTAGCTTCTTAACAACTAGTAAAGTAAGTTTCTTAACAACTTATTTTACTATAAGAGTACCAACCAATCAGAGTGGATTCCTGGAGGCCCCCTCTTATGCTTGGGTGTGAGAGAGTGCCTAGGAGGTCCAGAGTAGGTGAGTTGGTTGTTGGAGGGATGGGTCAGGCAGCTGTCCTTACCCAAAGGTGCAGCGCGTTCAAGTAGTTTAACAACCACTGGTGCATAGCAGTGCCTGTTGGTCCAGTATCAGCCTTGTTTATGTCCGGAGGGTCAGCTTTGTGACCACAGGGGTAAAAATCATGTGCTGTCTTTCTCACTAATCCTAGCAGGTGAGCTGACCAAAGTAGAAGAATCTGGCTTCCAACCACTAGTGTCTGTGGAATATAGAAGACAGATGGGGCCTTTAGGGCAACTGCACTGCCCTAATCCCAGTCCATTTTCAGAAATTCCAAATCACAAGCCCAGTAGCAGTGTGCACACTGTGTACAGGGGAGGCCCATTTATAAATGTAAAAGGCCCATTCCAGTGCTGAGCCCTTTCTTCTCCTGAAGGCAGAGCCCTTCTCATCCCTAACCCTGGGAGTTTTCAGGAGCCCACAGAGCTCGCCTAGCAGCAGAAATCCTATTTCCCATCTTCTGTCTGCTTGCGGACTCGAGATCAATGTGTCCTTGCTTCTGAGTGTTAATTAGCCCTATGGGAACCTTCTGGATGCTGTGAACCCTTTTGCACAAAAATATGCACATACGTATATGTATTCAAACTCTGACAGCATTTCACAAGGGTCACCCTCTTGGTCTTTCTTCATAGCCTGGGTGAAACAATTACTGAAGAAGGGAAACATTTTTCAGTCTCTGAGTTGTAACATACAGGTTATGAAAACACATAGTGGATCACAACCAACATTTTGAAAATGGAATACAATAGAAGTTACCCGAGCATGTCAGAAACTTATTTCTATTATAAACCCACACAAATACATCCTAGGTGATGAACTGTGAGTTAGGGCTTTTGCCACTGGTGTTCACTGCCAGGTCTGACTCAGAAACGCCTGTGAAGATAGTGAGCTTGTGGATGTTCCACTCTCTTCCATTCACAGGCCACTAGCTTGGCCTTACATTCCCTTTGGACTTTACCCGGACAAGGACAAAAGGAAGGGAACTGTCCCCAGGTGTCCTATGCACAGAATGGGAGCCATATTCTTTGAAGCATTTTGCTTCTTGTTTTGCCGTGGGTGGAGGAGAATCAGAGTCATTGCGACACATCATTTTGGTTTTGTTTGGTTTGATTTGGTTGTTTGGGTTTGGGTTTGAATTTGGATTTTGAGTTTCTTTTTTAATTTGGGTTTTTCTTTTATTTTGTTTTGTGTATTTTGTTTTGTTTTTTATTGTTGGTTTGGTTTGCTTCAGTTCAGTTTTGGTGCTGTTGGGTTTTTTTTTGTTTTGTTTTGTTTTGTTTTTTTTGCAGTCTTGGGGATTAAACCCAGGCCCTACATACAGTACTATATCCCCAGCCTTTTTTTTATTTTTTCATTTTAAAATAGACTTTCCTAAGTTGTTAGGCTTCCCAGGCTAGGCTCAGCCTTGTTGACCTCCTGCCTCAGCCTCCCACAGTGGAATTAACAGGTATGTACCACCACACCTGGACATAGTTTTGGGGTTTTTAATTTTTGTTACAGGTCTAGACACTTCCTTTTATTTTGTTCTCAAACTTCAGCTTGCATCAGAATCACCAGGAGAGCTTGTGAAAACACAGGCATCCAGACCCCATTCCCAGAATTTCTGATTCACTAGGTCTGGCTGGGGCCTGAGGATTTTCATCCCTCACAAGTCCCGAGGAGTTGCCTTCCTGCTGGTTAGAGGACCACACTCTGAGAATTGCTGATTTATATTATGAACTAATTAAAAACATAAGATCTGATAAACGCCACACAGGATCCCTTGAGTTTTCTAAGTTCATAACTCATTATTTTTGGCATAAAAGAACCCACTAAAATTTAACAATTCCTCTATATTACAGCATATAGACATGTTTAGAAGAGTTCTTCTAAACGTGTTGGGCTCAGTCTAAAAGTTCTACTCTTCGAACTTTTCTGAAACCCCAAACCATAAGTAATCAGCCAAGAAATTTAGTTTTGTCATGAGTGAACCACCCAGGGTGATGGCTTATGGTCCCAGAGCTGACTGGTTTGAGATACAGCTATTTTACTATGTCCAGTATTTTACTCACAGCCTAGGTATGTGATGTTATACATCTGGGAAATAGCGAATAGATAGACAACAGATATTGTCCTGGGAGAAACGCTCTGTCAGGAATAGCCTACATGCGGGCCAACGCCATGTTCTCCACCACACATTTCCAAGACCTGAATGCTCACCTTTGCTCCTTGAGGTCTATGCCTATGCGAAGTGCTACAGGCCTATGGGGAAATGCTTATTATTCAAATATAGGTTTCTCAGGACATAGACCCTTTTAGGGGAATAGGACATAGAGAATAGGACACAGACCATTTTAGGGGAAATAGACATAGACCCTTAGGGGAAAACCCTGCACATTATCATCTCTGTTTGAATGTGGAAGATTTTCTTTGACATTGTGATGTTGCTCAACAAACAAGAAAAGTAATGTGAATAGTGTCTTGTAATAATATCTGTTTTAGGCAAAAAAAAAAAAAAAAAGAAAGAAAAAGTAGTCTGTTTAACGTATGGAGTAATCAGGTAAAGGCATTTTATTGTTTGGATGCATTTGAATTTTTTCCTTTGTATATTTAAAATTAACTGAAAGCACAAAACTAGGTTAATAAGAGGCTTTTTTATTTTCACTTCAGTAGAAAATATTGTACTGATTGCTGATTCTTAAATGCTTCCTTTAAAAATAGAAATTACATCTAGATAGTGCAGTCATTTATACTAAGTAAAAGTAATGGTTGGCTTTGATAAATGTTTCACGACCTGTTAAAGGGCATTGTAACATCTTTGCCCTCTAAAGAAAAGCACCTATTTCTCATTCATAAAATCAGCAATCTGTGGTCCTTCAGCATATCCGTTATAAACATACAGCAAAAATGTCCAAGTTATACAAGTCCTTTCATCCGTTTCCAGTAGCCTATCCACCTATTTATATAATCTGCGTCTATCCAATCAGTCTCTGAGTCAGCAATATTTTTCCCCTTAAATTTTTTTTATAAACAACTCAATAACTCATTTCAGTAGAGTTGATTCCAACTGGCCATGAAGTCAATACAAATTTAGTGGTTAAGGTCACAAAACGTTATAACTAGATTACAAGTTGCAGGATATACCACCATTTAACCAAGAACTTTTGATTTTTCAGAAAAATGACTTGAATTTAATTAAGCTTATAGCCAAAAACTGGAATATTTCCAGGGATTTGCTGGAGATCTTTCAGGTTTCCCCACAGTCACCAGTTCATTTTTCAATACAGCATGATATTGATCCCAAGTCACAAAAACTTAAATCATAATCAAAATTCCCATAATTTTCTTTCTTAAAGAAAGGAAGAAAATATGGAGACATATTTGCTGCTTAGAAATCAATACGCCCATCAGGAAGACAAAAACATGCTTGAGCTATCTGCCAGCATGCCGGGTTTAACAAGGTTAGACTCTTTCCATCCGGTTGCTCATCCCGCTCCTAGGTGGGATGAAATTTGCTTATATCAATTTTCACCCATGCTGCATCTTTTTAAAATGTCCAGAGAGAGGGAAAAAAACTATTTTTCTTTTCCTTATAAACTTAATCCTTAGCAGGGACATAGAATAATCCATTTGGGGGCGCCTCCTAGCCCTTTCCAAAACTATCCATTGTTCCATGGGTGACATTTCCATTCTTTTGTCTGGCCTGGACATGTCCTGAGGCCCTATAAAGGAGGACTCACCCGGACACCTCACTGACGTTGACTGATTTGGTATTGTTACTCTGGCCAACTTCTAAGCATTATCATTAACACCGTGTTAGCGACCTGCAGAGAGAAGTACATAGTCATTGCCACTTTTGACAGGGTGGACTCAGCTGCAGAAATGCAGAGTTCACCGCGGAGCAGGATGATTTCTTTTTCTAGCCATGGAAGCTGACTGGTTTGCACTGACATGTTATGATTCAGAGAATCTAGAGCATGTGGAAATCTATGAAGTGGATCTAAAAAATGTCCCATCTGTCAAAACAGCTTCTAGACAGAAGTGATGACCTTTCACCTCTCAAATCTTATTCAAGTCTTAAGGGAAATCAGTCTAATGGTTTCCATTCATAATACTCTCCGCTGAACTGTGCTCCGCTTCACTAATAGAATATGCAGGGTGATCAGATGATCCTTCACCCCTTACCAGCCCCTCTCACCAAAGAAAATGACATCTCATTCGGCTAATGGCATCCTGTCCAAAAGAGTGAGAAATAATTTGCCTCTGAAGCCTGAATAAAAATAATACTGGGGTGTGTGTAATGGAAGTCAACTACAAAAACATGTACAGTATGATTCCAATTTTTGTGTGTCTATTGATATATCCAAGAGCTGATCAAAAATATGATGTGTTGCCAGGCATGGTAGCACATGCCTGTAATCCCAGCACTTGGGAGGCTGAGGCAGGAGGATAACTGCGAGTTGGAGGCCAGCCTAGGAAACAAAGTGAGTTCAAGGCCAGCCTGAACCGCATAGTAAAACCTTGTCTCAAAAATACAAAACAAAACCAAAAACTATGGGTTGCTTAAATTTCAAAAGTTGTTATAGTACAAGATGTATTGCCATCACTTTCTCTCAAGTAGTCTCCATTGCTTCAAACATACTTATCCGATTGTTCTGACTGCTTTCTGAAGCCGGTCCAGAAGTCCTCTTTCATGAATGTCTTTACGAGCTATGATCAAAAGTAGTGACTGCTGTTGCTGTGAACCATCAAACAAAAAGGCAGAGTCATAAAAACATTGCACTGTGTTCTCATTTACCTTATTCACTGGATCTGTGTGGCTTCTGGGTGTTCCCCAAAGGGGGAGATAAACCACAAAAGGTAAAGGATTCAGGACAGAGAGCCACACAGCTCAACTAAAGACACTCCCAAAAGAAGGCTTCCAGAAGTGCTTCAGAAAGTGGCAAGAATGATCAGGTAAGTGTGTCTGAAGAATGGTTGAGTACTTTGAGGGGTATAGAGAGCCTGCCCTGGTCTTGTCGCCTTCTGGAGGAGTCCACATTTGTAATCCCAGGGAAAAGTTAATGGAATTCCATTAAGTAATTCCAATCTACCACTTCCCGTGCAACCCAGGGCAAGAATAGAGATAAACACATATCTGTAATTGCGGGGAACCAAGGGGGTCCTAAATCCAGTTAGAACAATGGCTAACAGCAACAAAAGCTTCGACCCAGGGCAGAACCTGAGTTTTATTAATTCTTGAAGAGGGGAGTGGCTCGGGATTGGGTGACTGTGACAATACTGGAAGTATGTGAGCTGGGCTAGGTAGGAGGCACAGCAGCACCTCTGCAATATGCAGAGAGACACGCAGAAAGAGCAATCTGCACAATACAGATTGAGGAAGTATCTTGTGTTTTTGGATGTGTGCTTCAGCTTTGATGTCTGTTCTTCATGCCCTGAGACGTCATGGGTTCTTTCAGCAGCACGCCCACTTCAATCTCAGCCAACAGCGCAGCGTCACTCAACCCACTCACGCATACTGTTTGGGAACTACAGGCAGGACATCACTGACCTGTCTCATGTTGCTTTAAAGGCTACACAACAGCATTTGCGTTGCTAAAAGCCAATTGAAGGGATAAAGAAATATCCCACGAAATTAGGGCCAGGTTCAGCCAAAATGGAGACAAATGCTCTTCTTTCAAGGAGAGCTGTCCCAGTGGTCCTTCACAGAGGGAAATTAATGGCAATGTGTCTTAGTGTAATAACTTTTTTTTGTGTGTGTCTTTTTGAGACAGGGTCTCACTATGCAGTTCAGGCTGGCCTTGAGCTCACTTTGTAGCCCAGGCTGGTCTCAAACTCACAACAATCCTGCCTCAGCCTTCCGAGTGCTGGGATTACAGGCATGCGCCACCACACCTGACTGTAGTAACTTTTTAAAAAATTTAACATTCATTGTATTTTTTAATCACACCTTACAAGTAAAATAAGTGGTCATCTCTGAATAGTAGTGATTTGGTGACTTTAATTTTGTCTGTGTGCTTTTTAATACTTTGCAAATTTTGTACAATCAACATGTTATAATCAGAAAAATAATAATTGTTTTGCTTAAAATGCTGTCATCAGAATAGATGTTTTTATATGTGCTTTTTAATACTTTACAAATTTTGTATAATCAACGTGTTATAATCAGAAAAATAATAATTGTTTTGATTAAAACAGTGTCATCGGAACAGATCTTTTTGTACAGAGAAATGTTGTCATTCCCAATGAAGATTCCAGCACAGGTTCCAGCATGTTGCTTGTGGAGAAGAGTGAGTGATATTCTCCTTTCTTTCTCTGTAGGCTCACCCCAGGACATGGCAGCCGTGAGAAGCCAGGCAGCCCTGCAGAGCATGCGGACTTCGCGGCTGATGGCACAGAACGCAGGCATGATGGGAATGGGACCGTCGCAGAACCCAGGGACGATGGCCACAGCTGCGGCCCAGTCTGAGATGGGCCTGGCCCCTTACAGCAGCACGCCCACCAGCCAGCCAGGAATGTACAGCATGAGCACAGGGATGACCCAAATGTTGCAGCACCCAAACCAAAGTGGCATGAGCATCACACATGGCCAAGCCCAGGGGCCCAGGCAGCCTGCGTCTGGCCAGGGGGTCGGGATGGTGAGTGGCTTTGGTCAGAGCATGCTGGTGAACCCCACCCTCACCCAGCAGCACCAGCAGATGAAAGGACCAGTGGGCCAGGCCCCGCCAAGGCTTCAGAGCATCATGGGGACCGTCCAGCAAGGAGCACAAAGCTGGCCACAGAGGAGCTTGCAGGGGATGCCCGGGAGGACTAGTGGAGACCTGGGACCATTCAACAATGGCGCCAGCTACCCACTCCAAGCTGGCCAGCCAAGACTGACCAAGCAGCATTTCCCACAGGGACTGAGCCAGTCAGTGGTGGACGCTAACACTGGTGCGGTGAGAACCCTCAACCCTGCCACCATGGGTCGGCAGATGATGCCACCACTCCCAGGGCAGCAAGGCACCAGCCAGGCGAGGCCAGTGGTCATGTCCGGCCTGAGCCAGGGGGTCCCTGGCATGCCAGGCTTCAGCCAGTCCCCAGCACAGCAGCAGATGCCCAGTAGCAGCTTTACCCCAAGCAGCCAGGGCCAACCCTACGAGCGGAACCCTGCTCAGGACTTGTCATACAATTACAGTGGGGAGGGCGCGGGGGCTTCTTTCCCAGGGCTCCCTGACAGTGCGGACCTCGTGGACTCCATTATCAAAGGCGGCCCAGGGGATGAGTGGATGCAGGAGCTTGATGAATTGTTCGGTAACCCCTAGTCCCAAGGGGTCCCGAGAGCCACAACTGGAGTGGTGCAAGCTTAACCCGTGAAAAAGAAGCAGGATGCTGACTCATCCTTGTGTTTTGTTTTTTTGACCCACGTAAACTGAGCAAAACTGCAGCTGGCTGGCAGGGGAAGATCCAGGTGTCAATCAGCCCTGCAGAGCCTCTTTGCACCTGATTTTCACACAGCAATCAAGATGAGACATCCTGCGGACCCCTGCTGCAAGAGGGGAGGCCCGGGGGTCAGGTAGGGAAGATGCCAGCAGCCGAAGCCCCTCTGCTCAACGGCCCTGATGATCGCCTGGCCCAGCAGGAGCTGCTCCAGCCCATAGGAACTGCCAGCCCTCCTGGCCCGGGTCCAGGGACTGCAGATTTGGAGACAGGAGATACAGAGCCTCAGCCGAGGAGACCCTCAGAGAGGCTGCTGGGCGGTGGCCCAGGCCACGTGCACAGGTCAGAAAGGCGCTGAATCTGGGTAGAAAGAGATGTCTGCTTCCAGACTTGCTTAGTACTGGGGGAATAGCAAGCTGGTCCCAGAGAGACAACCAAGGATCCCACAGACTAGTCTCCCGGCCCGTGATGGCCCTTGAGCATTGCGAGGCGTTGCTGTGGCCGCCGATGAGGACAGCCAGCTGAGCTTGAGAAGGCCCAGTCCTGGCAACAGATCCTCAGCAGGAGCCTCCTGGGTTCCCAGGCCAAGGTGATACATCCAGGTGGTTCTCATCTGCCTCTGACAGCTGCGGGCGTGGAGAGACCTCTGCTGCATTCTGTATCCTCCAGCCAGCGCCTCCCTCCCCCATCCCACCTGCCTTGCCTCCCCTTCCAGACTCTCCACGAAGCAAGGCTTTGGGCAGAGTGAGAACCAGTGGAAGAACTGAGACAATGCCTGACATGCGGAGGCGACACTGGAGCTTTCGTCCTCCAACACATGCAGAATTGAACAGAGTCTCTGCTTGGAACTGAGCGGGCTGTGCTGGAGCTGGAGTCTCCCCAAGGAAGAAAGGCCTGGAGGGGACCAGGCTGGGCTCCCTTTGGGGAAACCCCAGGGGTGCTCGCTCTGAAATTGGCCTTGTTCGTCATCTCTGCAATCAGAAAGACAAATATAAAATCCCAGAGATGGGAGAACATAAAAATCAGTAGCTCTGCCATACAAATTTGGGTGGTAACAGGGGAAGACTTGGTTTCTTTCCTAAGGGCAAAGTAATCCCCTTCGAAAGTTCTGTACAGTTGTTCTCTTTGTAAATCAGTCGCATCTCCCCTAACAGAAATCTGTCACAAGGAGTCAGCAACTTCTGCTGTCACAGGCTCGTCTCCTGGTGTCTGCCTCCCCTCCCATGGTCCCATTGTGGAGGCTGTATGACACAACTACTGTCTTGAGTGTGAGTGGCATGTGTTTTCCTCCTGTCCCTCTCCCTCCATGTCCTACATGCTGGCTCTTTCTGTGCACACACACAGCTCCCAGAAGAAAAGAGCTTGGAGGGTTGGACCGCAGCGCTTCGGGCAAGTCAGGATGCGTGGGAAGCATTGCCTTTGACCTGCTCTCCATAAGCCCCAGGTTCTAGATCTGCCTAACACAGGCAGGGAGTGAGGCTGGAGACGCTGGGCTGATGGGCTGTGTGCCCTCTCTGAAGCGCGGTGGTAGGGTGACTGCGAATTCTGTAAATGGGGAGGGAATCCCACTGGGAAAAGAGAAGAAAACCAAAAAGTGAAGGAGAAAACACAGAATTATTACCTTTTCCTGCAAGGTCCAGGAAATAAATATAAAATAAATATATAAGCAATGATGAGAAACTGGAGGTGGCTGACGGAGACAGGGGTTTCATTATCTTTCCAGAGCTGCCTCCAAGCGCTCAGTACAGGGACCAACTCATAGAGAGGTAGATTTTAATGAGGTGGTTTTGTTTTGTTTTTACTACGGTGCTGATGTATATGTAATGTCTAAAAAAAAGTTATTTGTACATAAGTTTTTACAATACTGCAGATATCACTGGGTCTACTATCTGTAAAAAAATATATACATATAAATATATATATATATACTGTTTGTTTAAAATAGAGTATTTTTATTTCATTCCTTAACTCATCATCACAGCAGTGGTATTGCACTTCAGACGACATCTAATTACTAATTTGTACTGTATGACCTATGGCAACTTGCTCCATTTTATTCAGATTTTTCTAGTTTTCTGTTTTGACTTTGTACATTGAGCATTGCTTATTTCCTTCGAAGAAATGTACAGGACTCTGAAATGTAGAAATGAAGTGATGTTGACATACCACTTTTAAAGAAAAAAAAATAAAAGATCATTATCTGAATCAATCCAAAGTATACTTCATTTTAGTCTCCAAAACTCTTTAGGCAGATACATTCTTCTTGGGATTTAACTGATTAACCGTGGTTCTTTTCTCAACACTTTCATGTCATTATTTAAACGTGTAGCAATAGAGAAGGATCATTCCAAGCCCTTTCAGTTCAAGCAAACTGAGACTTTCTAAATGTGCTGGGTACTGGGAGGGGCGTGGCAAAGTCCTCTCTGCAAGGGACACGCTGAGGTCCATTCGTGGATTCGGGACCACAGCAGTTCGGCTTCAAACTGGCTCATTCAGAGATTCAGAAAACGAACGAGTAAAAACTTATATGGGGAAAAAGTCAAGGTGTAGCTGGAGGGCTGTAGCGCAGAGGTCTTGCCCCTGCAACGGATGCGGTCAGTAACACCCAACTCCCTCAGGAGCCTTACTTCTCCCAGTCCACCCCGCGCTGTCAGAGCCATGGCCCAGCCCAGCTTTGCCTGCTGCCACCCCCAGAGTGGAAAGTGCTCGCGAGTCTACGCCTTCCATTGGCGCAGGCTGGTGAGAGCCCAGTTTACTTGTCTGGACCAACCAAGACAGGATGTGTGCTCCAGACTCCCACAAGGTCAGACAGAGGCTGGGACCTGGCTTAGTTCCTTCCCCTTCTCAGCCCTGCTTCCTCACCTCTTTTCCTTTTCTCTCACTGGAGCCCTTCATTAACCCATCCCATACATGCAGACCCATTTCTCCACCTCCGGGAGACCTGGCCTTAGCTCCCCGGCAGACTTTACAAAGCATGGTAAGACAGCATGTCTCAACACTGTCTGGGTGAAGCTGAGAAACAGACCACAGAATAAAGCTATCCTCAAAAGTGGACCCCAAATGAAGCTGAGTTTTAGTAAACACCAACTGAGAGTTCAAATGAATTTATAGACGAGGCTGGCCCTGACCGTGGTGAGCAGAGGGTCCAGACTGTCTAGCGGAAAACACAACGGAGAAAGCAGTGTGCCAGTGGGTTTGGCCCCTTTGGCACCGGCTCAAGACTCTACTAGGTAATGTGAGTAGCAAAGTGAACTGATTCGGAGTACAGGGAAGGCACGGGGGAAGCTGACCAGCGGGGTGAAAACGGGAAGCTCTGAGAACAGCGGATTGCTCTTCCTAATCTTGACATTACAGGATGAACGGATGGCTTTCTCCTTCAAGGTGATTTCATATCTGTAATCCCAGACATGCTAAGGACTGTGTCAAGCAAAGTGGGTGGATGCAGATGACTTGATATTATTGCTTATTAGTGATTTTTTTCAGTCAAATCCTACTGACCTCTAATCCTAATAAGTAGGGAGGAAAACTGCCTAAGAACAGATACCCCTTTGCTATTTGTGTAAGCAGTGTTTTTTGCATTTTGTTTTTTGAGACAGGGTCTCACTGTGTAGCTCAGACTAGCCTTGAACTCACTATGTAGCCTAGGCTGGCCTTGAACTCACTTCGCAGCCCAGGCTAGCCTCAAACTTGCAGCTATCCTCCTGCCTCTGCAGGAGGGCTGGGATTGCAGATGTGCGCCACCACTCCCAGTGCATGAGCAGTATTTCTTATTGTTGCTTCTTTGTTGCTGGGGTTTAATCCCAGGGCCTTTACAGTGAGCCACATCTCCAGCTCTTTTCTTATTTTTTATCTTGAGACAAGGTTTTGCTCAGTCACCCAGGCTGGGCTGGAACTTGCCATCCTCCTCCCTCAGCCTCCCAGAGCACGGGGGTTACAAACACAAACCACCACACCCAGCTTCATTTTCTTTGGATTGTTTCCTTTCAATCTTCTCTATTCTCTTCTCTGTTGCCTTCTAAGGACATGAGATTTCCATACTGGCATCCTGTGGGCAAGCTACCACAGGTACCTGTCTCACAACGCAAAGAGGAAATTACCAAAGCTTCCACACACCTGAGATCTTGGGTCCCTGCCCACATCAGAACATCAGAGAGAGGCCAGCAATAACAGCCAAAGCTGTACGGAGGCCATCTCCAGTCAAACCTCCAGTGTGAACACAAGAAACTTTGGAGCTATCCAAAACTTGATTAAAAGTTCCAACTTCCTTTAGAATTTTTAACTTTTTACTATGCACATCTTTAAGCCATCAGAACAGTAGAAAGAATACCTATACAATCACCAACTGGAGAATACCTATACAATCACTGGTAATGCCTTCCACAAATGCTTCACATACGTATCTGTTTCAAAGTTGTTTGCACCTGACCGCTTCACCCTTAATGCCTCAGCTTTGCAGCTTCAAAGAATCTGGACATTCCCTTCCCTGGCCACAACAGCATTATCACGTCTAACGTGATCAACATGAATTTCCTAATAGCTGCTTCTCACTCACTATGCAGACCACTCCAGTTGTCTCACACACACACTCCAAAGATTGGTTTTTCTAACCCGGATTGGATCAAAGATCTCACGCTGCCCTGCGGTTTTTATGCCTCTTCAGACTCCATTAACAGAGGAAAAACTCTCTGTCCCTTCTTTTATGACGTTGACTTTTTAAGGAAGTGAGTCCAATTTCTAAAAGTAAAATCTGTCAATTTACTGATATTCCAACAAATATATGTACAATCGTCAAATCAGTCAGAAACTCACAGCTCTTTGGCCAGCGTGTTTGCTCCCTGTAGCCAAAGCTAATAGAAACAAAATAATCAAGAGGTTACCTGGTGACAAAGGGATTAGAACAATGGAAACAAATTATCTTGTAGTGTTTAAAGACACAAAGCTTTGATAGGGTACAGCCATGGCCTGTTTCTTTTTTGTTTGGTTTGGTTTTTTGGTTTTTGGTTTTTTTCCAGTACCAGGAATTGAACACACGACCTTGCGCTTGCCAGGCAAGCGCTGTGCCGCTGAGCTAAATCCACAGCCCCGGCCTGTTTCTAAATGTTCTCTATACAAACCAGTTTAGCTGCTTTAAAAATCCTAAAGTATAAGATGCAGAATGGTTTTTGTTTTTGTTTTTCCGACTTCCAAAGGACAGTAGTCTGCAGAAATCGTGCTGGAAGGTCAGAAGCTTGCACTTTCTTCCTTCACTGTCTTCAGTGACTAACACAAATTGTCAGGATTCAAGCCACCATCATAATAGATAAGAGAATCGAGGGGAAAGATTGCAGAGTCACAGTATTTTCCAAATGAGCCCCATTTTATCTAAGAGAAAAATGACGGCCACAAGCTATGAAGTACTGAGGTGGCACCACCAGCAGGTGACAGGTCAGGGGAGGGTGGTCTGACCCTAGAGTCTCCACCAGTTTGCTGCATGGCTTCTAATTGATGCTGGGCCTTACCCAAAGTCAAACAGTCAAGGGCTGGGGATATAGCTCAGTGGCACAGCGCTTGCCTTGTAAGCATGAGGTCATGAGTTCGATTCCAAGTACTAGAAAGAAAAAAACTAGTTAAAACAGTCAACATGTGGGAGAGACCCTAGACCAGCATCCAAATGTTCCCCTTCCAGACCACTACGTCTTCCACACACTGTGAGGTACTAACACCACTATTTGGAATCACAGGGCTGTCCCATCTTCCTTCTCTACAACGCCAGAAACACTAGCATGCAGAAGCATTCCTTTCTTTTCCTACTATGCATAGCGTTTGTAACTGCCTCTGTCCCTACCATAAAGAAATGTCTCATTAGGGCTGGGAATTTAGCTCAGCGGCAAAAGCACCTGCCTGGCAAGCGCAAGGTCGTGAGTTCGGTTCCCGGTACTGGAGAAAAACAAACAAAACAAAAAAACAAACAAACAAAAAAGAAATGTCTCATTAAATGGCTTCTTGATGCCCACACCAGACTCAAAGCTGTCTGATTTTTTTTCTAGAAATATTGATAGAGGGCTCTGTTCCTAATGTTTTCCCTAAGGCCTTTGAAGCCTTTGACACAGACTCATTCCCATTTTGCAGATGAAGAAAATGCAGAAGTGTCAAGTGTACTGTGCGGGAGGGAGTTGCAGCCCAGGGTCAGGAGAGCCACACGGCTCAGCTTGTTTCCTGCCTCCAGGCCACGTGATGCTCGTGGAGTCCAGTCCAGGTTCTGCAGCCATCAGCAGGACCCTCCTCCTCTGCCCAGGGGCTAGAGTATTCACTTAGCTCTGCTCCCTGGGTCTCCTCAAAATGAAGTGATTTTTTTTTTCCTTTGTTCTTTATAAAGCACATTTTCACAGCCAGATCTGCTTCGTGCCATTAGCTGGTGACTCTCTCTGGCTACTTCGTGTGTCTGCCTGACTTCCCCCACTCACAGCCATCTGTTGCATTTCAGCAACCCGTGCAGTGGGGCTTGGCTGCCTTCCCAGCATCTGTCTGGAACCTTCCATCGAGACAGAAGCTGTCGCAGAGGCAAGCTATGGCGGTGATCCACAAAAGCCCCCGCACACGGGTCAGGCTGCTTTGTCCCCACAAAAGCGACCGTGACATCAGCATGTTCTTCTAAACCTGGAGCTCAGCCCACGGCTGCTCATCACATGCACAGACCACCCCAGCAATCCAGCTCTTAAACAAACAGGAAATGCGCTCCCTTCTCCAAAGCCATCTCAAGAAAAACAAAACGGAAGACTTTTTAAAAATTTATTTAACCAGCAACATGGTGTTCCCTTCAGAGTGGAAACAGCTTGGGCAAACATGAAAGTGAAGGGAAGAGAAAAGTTAGAAGTATCGCCTCAGTTTCTTGGCAATGTGGAGGTCCAGGTATTCGTTTAGAAAGCTGTTTGCGATCCCCAGGGCACTGAGGCCTATCAACAAGGCCAAAGTCCCCAGGCTCAACTGGAAACCGCTCATCCTGCCGGGTGGACATGAGGGACAAGAGTGACAACCCAGGCTACCCTGAGGAAGCTGGGAGACCCAGCACAATTGACACTGCCCAGAGCTCCCATGCTTTTACCATCTGAACTTTCAGGTTTATTGCATAAATGAAAGGGGGTGCCTCACTGGAGAGGTGAGCTGACTTCTTTGACCATTCAAAGGACTACCAGAGCTGAGCAGAATTGTTCTCCTGATAACCTTCTAGACACTGCAAAATTATTCCTGGGGGGGCTGGGGATTTAGCTCAGCGGCAAAAGCGCCTGCCTGGCAAGCGCAAGGTCGTGAGTTCGGTTCCCAGTACCAGAGAAAAACCAAAAAAAAAAAAAAATTATTCCTGGGGTTGAGTGGACAGGTTTGTAGGTTGTTACCGTTTACTTGTAAGGTTAGGTTGTTACTGTTAGGTTGTTTATTTAGGTTGTTTTGTTTGGACTGAACCCAGGACCTTCTCACTGAGCTACACCCCCAGCCCTTTTTTAAATTTTTTGAGACAGGGTCTTGCTAAGTTGCTAAGTTGCCCAGACTAGATTTGAACCTGAAGTCCTCCTGCCTCAGTCTCTCCCAGTGCTGGGATTACAGGTATCTACCACCACATCCAGCTCGGTGCACACTTTTATGCCTGTGCTTCCCCATCTCATGCCTGATTATATGGTCTGGCAAGACACGGCCTCAGGCAACATGGGTCACTATTGCCACTGCAGCTCTCACTGATTTTTTTAATATTCCTGAGGAACAGTAAACTAGGCCAGACTTTCCCCTGCTATGTCCTGCATAAATCCCCATTACTGGGTTTCCCTTACCTTTTTTCAGCAGCTTCTGAATATCCCCAGAAGTACTTCTGACGGGCATATAGGTACACCAGACCCAGACAAGCAGCAAAAACTGCAGAATGGGAAGAAAAAGAAAAATATATATATATAGCATATGATAGCAGTCTTTCAAAATACAGTGTGGAGATGGAGAAAATATTTATAAAATATGTATATGACACGATACTTGTACCCAGAATGTATACAGAACATTTACAATTCAATTTTTTAGGACTTTGTTTTTCATATGGACAAAATATTGGAATAGACAACTCACTGAAGAAAATACACAGATGTGGCAGTAATCACATAAAAAAAAAATGTTTCCATAAGTTTCAACATGAACAAAATGTCACTTAAAACTACTACTCTATGTGTCCACCAGAATAGCTAAAATTTTAAAAGACCAACCATATAAAATGGTGAGGATGTGGAGCAACTGAAATCCCCATAGGTCACTGGCAGGGATGTAAAATAGTTGTGTTAATCAGCTTTCATGTCACTGAGACACGATACCCGACACTCGCAACCTGAGAAGAGGTTTAATTCAGCTCACGGTTTCAGGGGATTCAGTCCATGGGTAAGTGACTCTCAGGCAGAAACAACATGGCTTAAGAGCATGGTGAAGCAAAGATGACTTGCTCACAGTGGCTGGGAAGCAGAGCAAGGGAACAGAGCCAATAAGGAAGACATCAGGAAATAGAGACAGACCCAAGATCAGGCTTCCGTGACATACCCCAAAGCGTGCTTATTAGTCTCCCAGGCCAGTTGAGCTGGCACAATTAAGCTTAACCAACATAATAGAACAGCCACTTTGAGAAGAATTCTGCTAATTTCTTACAAACCAAACACACCATTTTACCCAACAATTCCATTCCTATTGCTCAGTAAATGCCTGTAAGGTCAGTAAGAATATTTGAGTTGTGAACTTTCATAAGTGTAAGATTCACCTTGTCAGCTTATAAATGAATCTGACTTATGAACAATTCTCTTGGAACAGAACTTGTTTGTAAACCAGGGACTTACTGTATTTGCCCAAGAGACATGAAACCATGTCCATAAAGTACAAGAATGTTCACTTCAGCTTTATTCACAGTCAGCCAAAAATTAGGAATTATTTTTTGGCCCAGAAGTCTATCATGAGAATTAATAACTAAGTTGTGACAGAGGCATTCAGTGGAGTGCTACTCAGCAATGAAAAGAAACAGATACAACACCACAGTGAGTCTCAATAACACTTTGCTGAGTGAATGAAGCATTACACCAAGATACATATTATACAGCTCCACCAATGGGGTGTTCTAGAACAAAGCAAAATGATGAAAAATCAGAACAGTATTTGTATCTGGAGGGAAGCAAGAATGGGATGACTGCGAGTGGGAGGAGAAACTCCAGTGGCGGCCATGTTTTACATCTTGCTGAGGCTTGAACTCACAGAACCACAGATGTCTATGCTTCCCAAAACTCATCGCACACTTATGATCTGTGACTTCTACTGTACGCAAATTTTATCTCAGGAAAAAAGAAGTACAAATTGTGATATAATGTTCTGCCATCCTTATCAATGAAAATGTCAATGTCTTCCTTCAGCCCCTCACAGATACAAACTACCAGAACCCTTACATTTAGAAAACAGCTATTTTTGGGAAAAATTAAAAATGAACTAAAGATTAAAAAGGAAAAAGCAGGCTGGGGATTTAGCTCAATGGCAAAGCGCCTGCCTGGCAAGTGCAAGGTCATGAGTTTGATTCCTGGTACCGGAAGAAAAACAAAAAAAAAGGAAAAAGCATGAATATAATGTGCTTCTGCCAGGATAAAAGAGCATGGATAGGGGCTAGGGATTTAGCTCAGCGGCAAAGCGCCTGCCTGGCAAGCGCAAGGTTGTGAGTTCGGTTCCCAGTACCGGAGAAAAACCAAAAAAAAAAATCACAAAAGAGCATGGATAAATTTTTTTTTTTTTTGTCTTTTTGAGACAGGGTCTCAATATGCAGTTCAGGCTGGCCTTGAGCTCACTTTGTAGCCCAGGCTGGTCTTGAACTCACAATGATCCTCCTGCCTCAGTCTCCCTAGTGCTGGGATTATAGGCGTGCGCCACCATGCCCAGCACAATGGATAAATTTTAAATTAAAATTTTTAACTTGAAAATTCAAGCCTTAATTCCATTTCCTTAAAATACTTAATTTTTCTTTTCTAATATCCTGTACATATTGTTTAATTCAAAGATATGTATTTATTACATTTTATATTCCATTTTTACTAATATTATATCATAATTATTTTCAGTTATTATCATGGTTCCTTTAACATCTTATATTTTTTGCAGATATATACATAATTCACTGTTAACAGTTTAGGGTAAAAGCCTTTGGAATTTTTCTCTTTCTAGCCAATCATATAAAAATATGTTTCTATGCATTTGTCTTACAATAATAGAAATGTGATATATAAGCTGTATTCTTTTACTTCACACACTGTGGAATGAATATGACCTTTAAAAATAAAAATAAAAAAATATTTAAATTCTATGTGTGAGCTGGGTGTGATGGCACAGTCCTGTAATCCCAGAACTCAGGTGTCTGAGGCAGGAGGATAGTTGCAAGTTTGAGCCCAGCCTGGGCTACAAAGTGAGCTCAAGTCCCGCCTGAACTGCATAGTGAGACTCCCTCTCAAAAAAAAAAAAAAAAAAAAAAATTCTGTGTGAGAGACTATGAAATGCTAAATAAAATAAAATTCAATATTTTATTTGGCCGTAAGGATTTTTAAATTTCTACTATATAACCATCTTTATTATAAAGATTGAGTTAAGACAACAAAGATACAAGCTCCTTGCTTTTATAGAGTTTATGTTCTATCATCAGAGACAGACCACAAACACCAAAAAAAAAAGAGAGAAGAAAATTGCAGACTTGAGAATGCCGTGAAGGAACTGAAGAGGATAGGGCAGAGGGAGCTGGCGGAGGCTCTAGGCAGGGCTCAGGGAAGACTGCTTGAGGGGATGATGTTAATCTCAAGCGTCAACTTGACTGCATTAAGAGATGCCAAGAGGGGTGAGGGTGTTAACACCAAGTGGATTAACCCACTGTTGGTTGACAGCCAAATGGGCTACTAAAGGGTGAAAGAAGTATGTCATTAGGAGCGTGCTTTTAGAGGCATATCTTTTCTGCAACTCTTACTGTTCCCTCTGTTTGCTAGCTGCCATAAGGGGAGCAGCTTTTCTTGGCCACACCCTTTCCACCATGTTGTTTCTGCCTCCACCACAGGACTACAGACAATGAACCCAGCTCACCATGGACTGAAGCGTCTGCAACCATGAGCCGAAATAAACCTTTCCTCCTTGAAGTTGTTTTTCTCAGGTATCTGTCACAGTAACAAAAAGCTGACCAGTACAGGCAGGGTCCTGAAGGGCAATGAAGCGGCAGAGCTTCCTGACATCTGAGGAAGTTCAAATATTCTGGGCATGCCCTCAGATTTGAGAATTATTGTCCTCATCTACTGAATTACTCCCACAAAGCCAATGAGAATGCTGAAGGAAGCTAATAGGCAACTTACTTTGCAAGAGAAAGAATGAAAAGAAAATTATGACCAGATACGCAAGAAATCCTTTCCTGCTGAACAGTCGACCTTATTTAGCCCATCAAGGGGAAGCCCAAAGGGTCAAATGGCAGAGATGGGATCCCATTATCAAAATGCACTTTTCTCATTCGTTGTTAATATGCTCTTATGTGACAAGGAACAGCCACTTTCACTTGTGGAATTAAGAAAAAAAAAAGTGTGAGTTGAAATAAAGTTAAAAGGTCTTTCTTTAAAGGTCATTTTATCTGAAATTCCTTAAGGGACAGTAAAAATTACAAGAGGTGGATGGCATTTCCTCTAGAAGCAGCTGGATTTTAGTTTATTTTAAATCTCAGTAATCAGATGCAGATCCAAATGATGCCACAAAAGTTACCGGAAATCAAAGAGAACTGAATTTTCCCACCTAAGTCTGTTAACACAGGTCTCACTCCCTGTTAAGCGAATAGGCAAAGTTAGGAAAAAGCCCTCAGCTCATCAAGGATACCTCAGTCAGGTGAAAAGGGATATTAGTAGCACTGCTACGGGTAGTGGGGCTAGATCCTTGCAGATCCCTTGGGAATGGTACATGGGTTGTGGGGACAAATATCTATAGTGTGTATTTGAAAGGGATATTTTACTTGCATTGGTCAATGTCAAGTTGGACAAATTACTTAATCTCTATCTCTCAGTTTTTACCTGTAAAGAAGGAATTAACTATAGACATTTTTTTTTTTTTTTTTTTTTT